GTCGGATAGTACATTGAAGGTGCTCATGTGTTTTCCTAGCAGATAATATGTGAGTCTGACAATAACAGCAGTTCGAACATCATTGAGTGGCAGATTTCTAGATGAAAATATTGGTGTACGAGCAATAGAAAGAGAAAATTATATAGACTTACATGTAACACCTTTTGCGAATGAGCTGTATAACGATCATCCTGAAACACGTAAGGCAATAGCCTATGTCGATGGAACTTATATCAAAATTCCGAAAAGCTCTAATTTTCGAGCACTCAGGCAATCGTATTGTCTTTATAAGGGGTGCCATCTACTAAAACCAGGACTTATAGTTGCACCAGATGGATATATACTAGATGTTCATGGGCCATATTTTTCAGATGGAAGAAATAATGATGCTGCTATGATTGAAGATCATCTTCAGCAAGCTAATGATCAGGATCTTAATCGTGTAAGGAATTGGTTTCAGGAAGATGATATATTGATCGTTGACAGAGGATATCGTGACGCTTTGCCCTTTTTAAACGGGTTGGGTATCGATACAGAAATGCCTCCTCTAATACCACGGGGTCAACGACAATTATCTACCGAAGATTCAAATAAAGCAAGATTGATCACCAAGACACGGTGGATTATTGAAGCAAGAAATGGTCACATTAAATCTTGTTTTCATTTCTTAAGAGATATATTGCCAGTACAGCATATATCTTTTTTGAATATCTTCCTCCGAATAATATGCTCCATTATTAACCGGTATTTTCCTCTCATTCATATGGATGGAGCAACTGTAGAATCTGCACAAGCAATGAAGGAATTGGCTGCGAGAGATAATCTTCTTCAAGCTAGAGTGAATAATGAAAATCTACAAAGACAAATTATTCCAGACGACAGATGGCAAAATCTAGATGAACTAAATATCAATAATTTTCCACACCTTGATCTACAATACCTTCGGGATCTGACTGTAGGAGTATACCAATTAAAGTTGGCTCCTAGCTATATCCAAGATCGCCTGCAACGAGAAGAAGTAGAACACTTCACTTTACAAGCCACCGAACTACAACCTGGTCTGCTAAGGTCAAGAGTGTATTCCCGTTTTACACAAAGGATAAGACATAACATCTGGATTAGCTTTATTCCCAATGAGAACCTTGAACATGACAGACAGCCAATAACGGGGTATTATTGCACATGTAAAACGGGAGCAAGGACAGTGGGTTGCTGTTCCCATGTTGCAAGCGTTTTGTGGTTTCTGGGTTATGCACGTTATGAAAATAATGTTCGATATCCACCTCTGAACATTTTGTTTGCTACAAAAGATGCTGCAAACCGGCCTTTGCGCGAACCATTGCAACATTAATTATTTTTATTTATTTAATTTATCTTCAGTAGATTTAATTTTTGCATATTCAGGGTTTTTGAATATTCATTGGTAATATGAATGAAACAGAAGCAGATGCTTTTACTTAAGTTTTTTTGAGATAAAAATATTCAGCTTTAATGCAACAAAAATAGACGGAAGTAGAATAAAAGGATTTGCTACACTTCATTCATATGACTAACTATGCCTAAGAGTTCTATTAGGTTATTGATACATCCATTTCGTAAAAAAAAGATAATTGAAAATCGCGAATTTGTCTGGGGAAGAAGGGCGGGGGTGCCATTTTCGGTCTTTTTCCAAGCTTTCTTTAAACCCATTTACTGGGTCTCCTATTGGTCGGGGCACAATGGGCCCATGGTAACTTTTGTTTCTTTTCCCTAGCTCTACAACATATTAAAATTTAAAAAAAATCGACTGGCCTTTATTTTCCATATAATCCATGCCATGTCCTTTGTCCTAGGGAAGTCCAAATAAAACATATTTCTCTGTCGGGTGTAGACACGATTTATTGAAAAAGGGAGTTGAGATAAAATATGAGGGCTATTTATATTATTATTTATGAGTTTATAAAGGTAAATTAGGCACATTTTTATTCGCCTATTCTCCAGGGAGAGTCTATTAAACAAATTCAAAAGTCTATTATGGTTAAATCCCTGAGGAGGGTAGAAGCCAAACCTTTTCAAAAAAACATACTTTAAGAACTTTCTCTGGACTCGTTCAATTGATTTGCACCATACCTCATATTGGGGTGACCAAATTATGCTCCCATATTCCAATCGTGGCAACACAAGACTGTCAAATAGCTTAACACATACATCAACATTAAAAAGCTTGGTAGATCTGATAATGAAATCCAATATTCTATGTGCCTCATTAATTTTTGTTACAATATGATCAGTGAAGCCCATGCAATTGTCGAACAGTACTCCTAAGTCCTTTTGAACCGAGTTGGTCACTAATACCTCTTCATTAATTGTATATTGCTTATTAATAACATTTTTCTTTAAAGAAAAAGACATAGAGGAACAGTTTTTAGTATTAAGCTTAAAACCATTTATATTACACCACTCAACAACTCTATCCAAATCTGCCTGTAAACAGTCACAATCATCCAGGGTTACTATCTCCAAAAACAATTTGAAGTCATCAGCAAACAATAATGACTTAGAACTCTCTACCACCTGACACACCCCATTGATCGCTATGACAAACAAAAGAGGTCCCAAGTTTGACCCTTGAGGAACCCCAGAAGTACTTTCAAATACATCAGAACAGCCCCCCTTAATTTCCACGTATTGTTGTCATCCAGATAAATAAGAAGTTATCAGATTAATCAAATTATTCGATACATTGCTTTCTTGCAGAGACTTAAGAATGACACTATGTTTTATTTTGTCAAAAGCCTTCTCCAAGTCAGTAAAGATGACATCCACTTGCGTTTTATTATTAAAGGAGTCATGCAAATACTGGGAAAAGGATACTAGGTCCGTCAATGTAGATTTTTTAGGAAGAAATCCTTGTTGGGTCTCTCTAAGTTCAAACTTAACCAGATCATAAATCCTGTTGAAAAGGAGTATTTCAAAAACCTTGGAAACTGCATTGACTATAGAAATAGGTCTGTAATTGACAACGTCCCGTCGACATCCACTTTTAAATATCGGGACAACCTTGCTCGTTCGCCATACCCTGGGATAAGTACAAGTTCCAAGACTAAGATTAAAAATATACATCAAAGGCTGTAGCAACAATTCACCACATCCCTTAATAATATATCCTGGCAGACCATCCGGCCCGATAGCTCTATTACCTTTTAATTTTTTAAGCGCGTCAAGGATCTCTTCCTTTGTAAAAGGGAAATCACAAAAATGATCTTTAAATGAATTACTCTCGAAGCAATCGAGAGACTCTGCAGAGGAAAAAACACTACTGAAAAACCTCGTGAAAAACATTGCAAACGCGTCCGCAATATTCTTTGTACCAGAGAACGAGACATTATTGTAATTTACCTCAGCAGGAATATCAGAGTCATTCTTTTGTTCCTTGATATAAGACCAGAAATACCTTGGATTCTCATTCAGACTCTCTTCCACTCTCTGTAAGTATTTAGTATAGGCCAAATTAATTCTTTTTTTAATTAGGGTTCTAATATTCCTATATTTACTTTGCCAGTAAGAAGACTTAGTGGATTTGAACTTTCTAAAATAGGTTTCCTTTTGTTTTAATAGTTTTATGATTTCCCCATTATACCAAACAGGAAATGTTCGACCACGTTGTGTTGACATAGGAACACATTTAATAAATACGGCATGCATAATCTCATAGAACTTACTTAGAACCTCATCAACACAAGTACACACATAGAGACTGTCCCATTCCTGATTTAAAATCAAACTATACATAAGGTTAAAATTTGCTTTTTTGAAATTAAATTTTGTATTACTTAAAATAGATAAGATAATACTTTCAGTAAACCGTTTAGGGTTACATCTGGAGTTCTTCAGGGCGGACACCTCTCACCTTTCTATTTAACATTTTCATAAATGATGTCAAGTCCTGCTTCAAGTTCTCCGAATTTGCACTATATGCTGATGATTTAAGAGTTTATAATACCTCTAAGCATTGTGCTAAAAATCTTCAGATTGACTTAAACAGTTTTCATAGTTGGTACATTTCAAATAAAATGTTTCTTTGTGTTGAAAAGTGCAAATTTATCAAGTTTTCAAAATCGTCAACGAAAAAAATTAACTCTTATCATATACTCCTGGACAAAATTATCACACCACTGCACATAAGCATCACCATGAGCAGTGGTGCGAAAATTTTGTCCAGGACTATATAAACATCAACAGGTTAGAGCAGGTAGATATTATTAGATTTATTAGGGATTTGGATGTATTAGTCGACTCCATATATACCAATGCCATGATCGTATGGGGTTGAGCAAGCAAAGCTACATTTTCAATCTAGAAATCAGAAAAGTTGTTGGAAAAAAACCATTGCAATAGGCCGGCATAGACACACGTTCTTTCGCGCGGTTTATCGTGTCACCTGCAAAAACCCGTGAAAAATCATGTGCGTGAGTGAGGATGGCTGCAAGCAATGATAGAATGGGAAGGGATTTCACACGTGCTTTCATCTGGAATGTGGCGTCACTACTCAAGTACATGATAGTGCAGTTCACATCCGTGTCCACACGCCATTCCACGTCACGGTTTTGAGGCTAGTATGAAAACATGAACGCCGCGTTGTAAGCTATCACATTGAATATTTACATGACAACATTCACTTCCAAACGACACGATAAATGACATTTTTTACCCATAAATATACGGTTTTTCCTTTCCAACTGATATGCCGCGCGTAATCACGTGCAAAATCATTACATTTATACTTTGTCAAGTGTATGGAACATGACATTAGCGCATGCAAACCGCTACATCCCAACACGCCACGATAAACCGCGTGAAATAACGTGTGTGTATGCCGACCAATTGGTAACTCAAGTAAAAATTGATAGTTAATTAAATCAATAATAAACGATTGCTGATAAACAATACAGGATGCTGAATAATTTGAACGACCAAGGCAAAACCCAGAAATCGAGCTAGAAATTAAATGGCAAACTTACCTTAATGGGTAACAAGGCACTGATTTTAACCAATAGCTTACTATCACTGTGGTCTTCGAAAATTGGAATATTTACTTGTTGTTTATCTTTCAGTAGACAAAGTCTGCACATTAGCGCTATTTCACTAGGGCAAGCCATCTTCTCTCAGATGAAATTGAAATATCGGCATCGGACAAAAAACGTGAACTTTTTAATTTTGATTATTCCGAATGAACAAAACAAATCCAAATTACAAAACAATTAAACATAAACAAAACAAAAAGCAAACCCAAACAAAACTGACAACTGACATAAGTCACATAAGCTGCGTTCCGGGATGGAACATTCGTTTCGTCTTTCAGAGCAAACATGCGTTTCATGTGTCAGAGAACACATGAAATTCGTTTATCTTTCCGAGGTGGAACTTTTGGAGTGAACTCCATTAACTCCATTCCGTATAGTCGAACGCTGATGGAGTCGCCTCTAATACGCCAAAAGGCAATAAAAAAAAATACCCGAACGACTGAAGTGCGAATGGAGTCACTCGGAGTGAGCAAGCCGAACCCACCTTTTAATTGACGTTTTCAATTAAAAGAGATGGACAATGAGTATGAAAACAAATTAGGCGTATTTTAGCGAGAGTTTTAACCCAGTAGTATGTTGTATTTACTTGGGATACTACATTTTAGCGAGCATGGCTAACATACTATGACGTCACAACATAAAACACAACATAAAACTCGGCTGTAAACATGTAAACATCCTAGGAGGGATAGTTACTGGTTGTAGTATGGTTAATCTGTGGTAGTATGTCAGTGCAACTTTTTCTAATACACGAAAATGAACATAAAGCCTAGTACTCATAACTGCGAAATTCGCATTTTTTTGACATTGCGTTGACAATTTGACGTTTGATACACGCATAAAACGTCAAATTCTCAACGCAATGTCAAAAAAATGCGAATTTCGCAGTTATGAGTACTAGCACAGCCCTCTACACTTACAAGCCATGAAGTTGGAAATAACGGCAACGTCGCCAATGGTGCTATTTTGCTATTGAGGTTATATGTTTCTGTGTATTGTTTTCAGTGTTTATTGCTAGAGTGAGGTGCATTTTCAAACGAAAAAGTGGCTAGAAACACCAATATATTGTTTACTTACTGTTTATATTTGGTTCATACCTGTTATGCCATTATTAGTTGTGTTTTGATTGTGAATTTATAGCAAATACTGCAATCGGTACAGGAGCAAAAATTAATGTGAGTTAAGGTAAAAAAAAAAGCAAATAAAAACAATATAATATTTGTTTCCACTTTGCAAAGTGCAAGAGCACATGTATAGGTCTCGATATTATTATTATCTAAGATATTTAAACTTGTTCCAGATGCCAAGAAACTGCTGTGTGCCGAGGTGAAATCCAACTATAGGAGTTCCCTGAAGACTGAGGAACTGCAAACAACATTTTCATTTCCAAAAACTTCCGAATTACAGAAATTATGGCTAAAAGCTATACACCGAGATAATTATACGGTAACAAAAAATTCTGTAGTGTGTGCGAAACATTTTGATGTTATGTGTGTAAGTTTGCAGGAAATTAACAATTTCAAATTTGTTCTGCATAGTGATTATTTAAAATTGTACAGTAATTTTGATGACTCTGTGCAGGAATACATCTGTGGATACGTGGCTCGATCAGTTTTGAAGAATAATAAATGTGATAAATGTCAAAGTTTAGTAGTTCTAGCAAAAGGCATCCAGACGGATCATACATATTTCAATTCTCTGCAGAGAGGGGGTCTCTGTATTGCCACTCAAGAAACCAAGTTTATTTATTTTCATCTTTGTGCTATCTTCGAGTATATAATTAATAACAAAGATCTTGAAAGTATGTTCCTGAAAACAAATGATCATCATAATTTATTATCGCAGCTTACTTTATTAGCTTTAGAGTCCGATACCTTTAATATTGATTTGAACAAAATTTGTGAATGTGGTGCTAACTCAAAAAAAATTTACTCCTTTGCTTCTTTGATAATGAGTAATATTATTTTAAACAACTACACAAAATTTAAAAATAGTGAATATCATAAAAATAAAACAGATTCAAGTAAAAAAAGAAAACTAACCACTTTGAAATAGAAAAAAAATGTACCTAGGTACTAAAAATAATAATAGAGGTATGTTTTAAGGGTAGCTTTCCCGAATTCTTAGAAAGTATTTATTTTTGATAGGTAGTTGCTAGTTGTATAGAATTGTTTGACAAGACCTTGTACATATAAAATAGATATAGGATTATAACACTTTAGAATCTAGTAATATATTTATTTAAATCAATTATTTACTGTTCTTATTTACACAAATATTTATATTATTCATTGAATTACTGTTTTTACTTTTTAGTACAATATGATGCATTTTGTGTGATTAATATGTACAAAATATTGGTAATATTACAATAATTTTACTAACTACTAATATTTTTTCAAAGAAAACTACTTTTTTATGTAATTGAGATAAGAATTCATATCATCAATAAAAGTAAATAAACCATACGCGGAATTGAGGTTAAATAAAACAGCACCACTTGGCGGTAAGATTGCGGTGTTGCCTTTTTAACTTCATGGCTTGTAAGTGTAGAGGGCTGTGGTACTAGGCTTATTATGGGCAGAATATCAGCTGATTACGCTACGATTATCGATACAGTTCTTTCCATTATAAATAGAGGATTGTTTTTCCTCATTTTGCCATGGTTTTCTGTGATTTTATTTTAGAGGTTTTTTGCAAAAAAAATAAAACATCTTCACTTGTGCACAAAAGTGTAATTTTTTTTTTTTTTGGCATAGGGTACCCTTAAAATTCAAAAATAACACAATCTATCGAAAATATTCGAAAATCTTCACTGGAGAAATAATATTGAAACTCGAAAACGCTAAATTTTACAAAATTCAACAAATCCAAATAAACAACGATCATGGCGTCCTCTCTTAGACCCTTTGTCAAATACACTCCACCTGTTAAAGCCTAGTACTCATAACAGCGAAATTCGCACTTTTTTGACAATGCTTCGACACATTGACGTTTAATGCGTGAATCAAACGTCAAATTGTCGAAGCAATGTCAAAAAAGAGCGAATTTCGCGGTTATGAGTACTAGGCTTTATTTGGGTAACTATGACGTCATGAATCGTAGTATACGTGCGTTTTTATTCTCATCGAGTTTAATGGACCTTTCTCATTTTACCAGGGGTACGTTCAAGGACGGCTAATGCCAAAACCTACTTTTCCCCCTCCACCTGTAATGCCGAACCACGTAGGTTGGAGCCGAACTCGAACGCAAAATGCCAATTTTGGCTAGCCATTCCTGAACGCAGCCCTGTGCTGCGCGCGCAGCTTGTGGGTGACAGATAATAAAATTGTCATTTGAATGACGCGGGAACGAGGTCTGACCCTGACGTTTTTTAAGCTAACCTCAATAATCAATCGATATTGCTGAAAATTATTACAAAAACTGTTTCTATACAATAGTTCAAGTGTGTTGTGTGAGATCTTGTCAGAGTAAGGCGAAAAAGAAGTCAAACCTTTCTTTTTACAAGTTTTCAAGCAATCCAATTTTAAGAATAACAATTAATGGTTAATGCTTTCAACCTGACTGAAGACGATTTAAGTTGGAACAGAGGTTTGATGGTTCGTAAAATAACGATTTCTATATCAAATACAATAATAATTGTAAAATTAGAGGATTAATAGCACGTGCAAATTCGTACTTCTCAAACTTTTCTAAACTTTACCCCCGCATATTTGTCATATTTACATTTAAAAATAAACAAAAACAGAAACATAACCGAAATTGCACAATTTGACAAGTGGAACCCATAGATAAGGGATACAAAACTCTCTCGAACCTATATTATAGATAGGCAACTCAATACAAACATTTTGTTCCTGATTACAGCGCCCTCTCGCGTGTGTAGTCAGCAACTTGAGAGCGCGGGAAGCGCTCCTTTTTAAATTTATATTTTTTTTTTCTTTAGGATCCGTTTATCATTTTTTATTGCCACTAGCACTGAACAATTTAATATGTTTCTAGTGGAAATAAAATTATGATAAACAGTCTCTTGATCACATACCGAAGAGTTACATACCAATTAATCCATGTATTAAATACAAAAATAACAATTTTGAATTACTTTATTAACTACAGTATAATATCAATCCAATCAATAATAGGTACCTACAATGAATTAGATTTTTTGATTGTGAACGTTTTGCAGGCATAAAATGAACACCTAAAAAGAAAGAAAGTTACATTGGTGAAATTACAGCAGGTAAAATTCCGATTTCGGTATAATGTAGGGATTGAAACATACCTGTTCATCATTTTTCGGAATTCGATGAATTTTTACTCTGTTCCCTCAGCTTTCACACATTGCCACACAACAAGATAAAACCATTTTGCTTTAAACGGAGAAAATTTTCAATCTCTGATTCAAATTATTGAATAAAAATGGAATATGTCAAAATTTGTCAAAATATAATGAAAAAGTAAAAGTGGAGCGACGCTGCCACATGTCAAAAGCATGGGATATTTGTTTTGAAAAAGTAATGTAATTTCAAATCGTACTACTAGCAATTATATGTTAGCGAAGTACACGACTTTTTTTTCCTATTGTTGGAAGCTTTTTAAAACAAATAAAGAATAATCTGGACTTTTTATGTAGCAACAGCATTAGACGACAGCGGGTCCGTTACACTGGCCCCCCCCCGGTTTCCCAATAGGCTCAATATTTTAGCACCCTATTGCACCCACCTAGCACCCAACTTACAGAGCTAGCACCACACCCCCTAGCGAGTTATCCCAGATAACACAAAACTACATGAAAAGTACTTCAATTGTACTGTATTTTCACATTTGCATGCCTGAGAAGTACTTGTGAAAACCACTCAACCGCTTCTGGGATGTCCAGCCGGCCAGTAAAAAAAAGGCGCAATCGTAGAAGCACTGCAATTGCGCACTTCCAACATGGAGTGCTCTAAGTGCTCCAAGCGTACGTTGGAAGTATTCGTGAAATGCTACATAAAAGCACTTCTCCGACAGAGAAAAAGCACCACTATAGAACATCTTTTTTTGGTAAATTTATATTGTACTCTTATGCCCGTATGCACCATTGCACAAATTCTCTGATTAAGACTTTAGCCGTGATCACAAAATATTTTTCATATGCACCAAGCGTTTTTTTCGCCTATTGGCAATTAACTTTAAATTGCTCGATGGCCTGGAATTTAGAACAAGATAA